AACTTGGTTAGCTCTGGATCAATAAGAAGTTTGAAGGTCATTTGAGCGCATTTTAAAGAAGTTATTCTAAGATGATTAACTCATGGTCCATTGGTGAACTATCCATCTTTGAAGCAGAGCTCATTCTCAGAAGCATAGTTAGGGGCAATTGTGAGACCATGATTTGTTGGGCCCATGACACGTGGAAAGAATGATAGGAATGCCCAAAGCCCATGGAGCGTAGTCCTAGGATATGTTTAGGCCTATTAAAGATATTATTTATCTCTTAAGTAAGAAAACCCTAATTGAGGTCAAATTAGGAATTAGGCTGTCACATCCCAGACCGGCTCCGCCGTAGCATGATATTGTCCTCTTTGGGCTTCAGCCACGCCCTCACGGTTTTGTTTTTGAGAACTCACATGAGAACTTCCCAGTGGGTCACCCATCCTGGGATTGCTCTCGCCCAAACTAGCTTAACTTTGGAGTTCCAATGGAATCTGAAGCCAGTGAGTTCTCAAAAGGCCTCATGTTATGTGGAGGTGGGCATGTACATATAAAGCACATCACCCCCTCTCTGTTAGTCGATGCGGGATCTTACATAGGCAATATAATCAAGATTCTAGAGAGATTAGGTACCTTATCCTAATTTTCTCCTAGATAGTCTCCCACTTTGATGAAGATTACCTTCCTACAAAAACTCTCAAGATCCTTATAATACACTAGTCTGGTATTAAGTAGGGGGACATAAAAGATTAAGTACTGCAGAACATAAAGTACACATAGGTTTTTGGTTGAATGTTTGGATCATCTCCATTGATCTCAGTATATGGTATTTATACAATTTCACATAGACTTTACAAGTGTTGACAACTTGTACAAGGAAAGATTTTACAATTAAAAATGTGCATATAATTAGGAAGCTTAATAAGGTAAATGAATGTGATCATGAAATCATCTTTTGGACTAATGATTTCATGGGCTGATAAGCTTGATTATCTCCATCTTGTTTATCACACCCTCGCAAGCTGACGGGGCAAAGAAGCACTAGAAGCTTGGACAGGAGATAGTGAAACGAGTAACGGACATGCCCTTGGTAAAGACGTCAACAATCTGATCATGTGTAGAAAGATAAAGAACTTTAAGATCATTACGAACAACCTTTTCACGAATATATTGATAATCCACCTCAACATGACAAGTGCGGGCATGAAAAACAGGATTTGAGGCCAAAAGATATGGCACTAATATTATCACAATGGACTGTTGGACAATACAGCAGAAGTCAAAGATCATGAAAAAGCTTATGGAACCATGAAATTGCAACAACTGTGTAGGTGAGCTGGCGGTACTCCGCTTCGGTACTCGAACAGAAAACCCTACCTTGTTTCTTGGAGCTCTAACAAACAAGGTTGGAACCAATGTAAATGCAATATCCACAAGTGGAACGCCGGTCATCAGGATTGCCGGCATAATCGTTGTCAGAATAGGCAGTGAGAATAATGGAGCCAGGTTTATATGTAATACCGTGAGAAGGAGTACCAACCAGATATCGTAGGATACGTTTGATAGCCAACCAATGGATAGAAGTAGGTTGATGCATAACTGACAGACTTGGTTGACAGTAAACGCAATGCCAGGACAAGTGAGAGTAAGGTATTGGAGAGCACCTACAACACTTCGGTATTCTGTCGGATCAGGAAGAGGGTCTCCATCTTGAAGGCTGAGCCTGCGACCGCTGACAGCAGGGGTATGAATAGGTTTAGCTGCCGCCATTTTGGTAAGCAATAGAAGATCATGCACATATTTAAGTTGAGAAATAAATAAGCCATCCGATTTCCTGCCAATCTCCATGCCGAGAAAATAATTATCGGGGCCCAAATCTTTCATAGAGAATCGACGGCCTAAGTCAGCAATCAACTGAGCAATATGAGACATATCATTGCATATTTGCATGTGATCAAAATATCATCAACATAGATAAGCAGATAAATACGTACGGAGCTAATAAGATAAATGAAAAGAGACGTGTCGGCCTGAGATGGTGTGAAACCCAAGTCCTTCAAATGCAAAGAGAAACATTGAAACCACGCCCGAGGGGCTTTGTTTAAGGCCATAAAGAGATCGCTAAAGTTTACAAACATGATCAGGGAATTGGGAATCCACAAAACCACTTGGTTGGCGCATATAGACTTTTTTCAGATAAAAAACCATGTAAAAATGTATTTTGAACGTTAAGTTGACGGACGGGCAACCAAAACTGAACGGAAAGTGCAAGGATGAGACGAATGGTGGAATGGTTGACCACAGGGCTAAAGGTTTCACTGTAATCGAGTCCAGGCTGCTGATGGAATCCATTTGCAACAAGGCGAACTTTGAAACGTTGGATAGAGCTATCAGAGTTCCTCTTGATATGAAAGACCCATTTGTTTGGCAAAATGTTCATTGAACGAGTACGGGGAACAAGAACCTAGGTACGGGCTCGTTGAAGAGCATTGAATTCATTTACCATAGCCTGACACCACTCAGGAAATTTGTTTGCTTGATTGAAACAAGTAGGTTCAATGAAAGTATTAGTAAATACAGAATAATCCGCATAATGAGCATATTTGGAATTAGACTTAAGATCACCAGCTTTACTCCGAGTCACCATGGGGTGAGCATTTGTCTCTCTTACTGAAGACGTGGCGGGGATAGGTGGATGTCTTGAGGAACTTGGAGAAATGGGTTTGGAATGTGTAATTAAATCAGTAACGGGAAATGGTGCAAGGCCTGCAGGACGATGGGTTTTACGGTGATAAAGTTGTAAAGGAGCAGGAGCATTTGGTTGCGAGATAATAGGTGAGGATTGGGTTGTTGAAGTATCAGGATGTGCTACTAGGGTGGTGGAGAGGACGGCTGGGGAAGAGTTTGGCATTTGGCTAATGGGATTAGGAATGGGTAGGATCTGATGAGTTGGATTGGTAGGCACCGACTCAGAGGTAGATGGCATTTGGCTAGTGGAATTAGGAAGGGGTGATGTTTGATTGGTTGGATTTGTAGGCAATTTGGTGCTGATGGATGTGGTTGTTGGATTATGGGTATACACATGGCGGTGGCCCAATAATTTCGAGTGTAGGATCTGGGGATGAACTTGTCTTTTGGGAGGCAAGAGTCAAGGATAGCTCAGAAAATGGAAAATTTAACTTATAAAAAATAACATGGCGTGACAAAAAAATGCGGTTGGTAGAAATGTTTAAGCATCTATACCATTGGTAATTCAAAGAATACCTTAAAAACACATATTTGGTAGAACGATAACATAGTTTATTATTATTGTATGTCCGCATGTATAGAAAACATGCACAACCAAATGTTTTCAAAAAAATATAATATGGTTCTTTGCCAAACAATTTGTGGAAAGGAGTATCATAATTCAAAACCGAATAATTAGAATAATTGTAATACTGTTGACTCTAAAAATTACAAAACCTACGTGGCGCGCAGGCCGAGTAACTAATGAGCTAACTACGTCCTTCGGTTGAATGCGGGGCGTGCCAACTCGTCGGCCGAGCTCGGCCGAGGAGTAAAATTTGATGTTGTCGCGTTGGGTGCGCTGTTGACTTCTGTATCTTGCGATTGCGACCGAGTAAGGAACACTCTCGGCCTCTGGGTTCTATAGCCTGAAGACAAGGCTACTAATTCTACGGAGTTCACAAGTCGTCGGAACCTGATTCGGTCACTGTGATTATATTCGTAAGAGTATAAGCACGCCGAATCGAGACCAAACTATATGGGCACAGGTACTCGAATGTGATATATGTCTTGATGGTAAACGTAGTTCGGCCGTCGAAATGCCGAACCCTGAAGCTTACTTGCGAGTATCCAATCATAAAACCACTCGGCGTCTAATGCGCCGAGCAATGCAATTCGTAACACCCTACTACGCCGGAAAGGCTTAGTAAGATGACCTCTACCAACAAGGGCTCGAAAACCCTTCTCGGCCGAGACTTAGATAGATAATCGGTCGACCTCGACGCAGTGCTGTTTATCCAAACTGAAGGTGCTCCGCGGTCGGCTGATTCTGCGGCAGCAGTGCTATTTATCCAAACTGAAGATGCTCGCCGGGTGCTTCCACAGTGCTGTTTATCCAAACTGAAGGTGTGTCGGCAGGGAAAAGAAAAGGAAAAAATCTCAAGGTGTTTGAGAGGTTTTGCGCAGGGCAATTGTATGCTGAGTTGAAGGGGTTTTCTATTACGTGATTTCTTGTATTTATAGCACCCCATTCCTTGAGATCAATTCGCGTTCTGATTCGGATTGGGAGTCCTTGTCCCATTTCACCTCTAACTCGGACAATCCGACTCCTACTGGGATTCTGAATTTTCCTCCCTTTTTGGGGCTTTATCCCTTGCTGGTCGAGAATCCTGGTCGCACCAGGATTTCCTCGACCTTTCCTATTCATCTGGACTACTTAGGATAAGATCTGGCCGACCCTGCCAGCTGGTCCAGGTTTCATTATTCGGCCCATAGTATTTGTCATTACCTTGGGCCCAGCACGTCCTGCTGCTCGGCCCAATAATAATATTTCGGGTCCAAACAAATACTCATACGTTCGTAAACACAGAAGAGATAATGAAAAATGCGCATTAAAATTATTCACATTCGAACCTATTCCACATAATGAAACATGCCATTAATTATAGTTTAAATCAAAGAAAAAAATGTCCAATAATTTTTCTTATGTTAGGGTAACTTTGTTTTGAGGCAGGGGTATCATTGTAAAATTAATATTGGTTTTGGGCGCGAGAGAAGCGGTGGGATTTGGAAGCCGGAGACCCCTTTGCATGTTCGTTGGGGAGGGAGTGTAAGATAGATTCATGCGGGTGAGAAAATTGTGATTACGGGGGATGGGTGGGTGGGGGGTGGGTTCGCGGGGCACAGGCACAGGCTGCTGTTTTTTGGTCCAAATTAAACGGGTAATAAAATCATAAGAATTAAAAATAATAATAATAAATAAAAAAGAAACACAGAGAGAGAGAGGGGAGGAGAGAGGAAGCCGCAAACCTAACCCAGATGATAATGTAAAAGAGAGCATCCTCCTCCTGCAATCACAGCTGCGTTTTAATCTCATTTCATTCGCTTATTAACTCGCAGATAAAAAATGGTGCTATCATTTTGACGCAGGTATATATGCGAATAAAAGGAGTTGAAGATACCAAAAAATCAAAATCAAAATTAAAAGAAGAAATGAACAGGGAAAAGGGCCAAGTTTGCGATGCTCCCTTCGACGACACAGCCCCGGCGGCCCCTCCTCCTCCCGAAAAAGAAAGGCTATACCTAGTGTGGCAGGGTAACAATGTATGTATGGTTTATCATTATTATTATGTTTAATTACCCCATATATGATTATGATTATTATCTCTTATCTTCTTGTTTTAATTAATTTGTTGCTCTCATGGGATAGAACAACGTAGCTTGCTAGAGAGAGATCTTGTTCATGCCCGCCGAATCATTCTTTTAGTTAATTTAACAAACTGCTCCCCCTTTGATACCTCTTTTATGATTAAGGAAGGTTGAAGCTTGGATTATTTGATTTTTATAAAATAATTTCATCAACTATTTATCATTTGGATATAGGATTTTAAAAATTTATATAAGATCTGGGTCATGTGTTGTTTTTGTGGGTTATGAGGAGGATTAGCTAGGTTGTTTGATTTCAAACTAAGTTGTGATGAAACTGGAATTAATTAATAATGTTGTCCTCCTAATGACCTGCAAAAGCAGTAATCAAGAATGAACATAAATATATAGTTATTTTGTTCACGATGAATGCTTTTACGCACGTACAGTGATTATCAATCATTTCTTTTTCATGCAAAATTGTTCCTTCAAACTCTGAAGGCAACTAAAACTAAAACTGAAAACTAATTGTACATGTAGTGCATGGATATCGATGTCAAATGTGTGTACGTACCTAGTTCCTAGCTGCGTACGAGTATGTATATACGTTCATAGAAGAAACAAATGAAATCATTAATGAATTTCACACTTGATTATCATAAATAATTACATAAATATGGACTAAAAGTGGTGAAAAACTTGTACGTGTTGTCAGAAATTTTTGTGCAGTGGAAGAATAGTATTTGGTCATGACGCTGCATCACTGTTTCTAACAAGCTTTTTGATTGGATGTCCTGCACTAACATTCTGCATAAGAATGTTTGTAAAGATGAGACGACAAGATGGACATTATGACTATTCCGTACTAGCTGGGGGAATAATCCTCACTGTTTTGGTTGGTAAATTGTCATTCTTTCTTTTAATTTATTTATTTAATTCCTGCTTAATTATATTATAAATGAATGAAACTAATTAAGCAAATTAATCTAATCTGACTTGACTTGGCTTAAGGGAGGTTTTATAATACTATTATATATACTTATATATGCATGCAGGATTTCACCTTTCTGTATTTGACTTCCGGTAGAGATCCTGGTATAATTCCGAGGAACGCACGACCACAAGAATCAGACGAGTCATATGACGGTTCTACCCCTTCAATGGAGTGGGACAACAACAAAGCCTCCAGTTTGAGAATACCTCGAATAAAGGATGTAACGGTCAATGGCCACACAGTGAAGGTCAAATTTTGTGACACCTGTTCGCTGTATCGTCCACCACGTGCCTCTCATTGTTCCATCTGCAACAACTGTGTTCAGAAATTTGATCACCACTGTCCATGGGTGGGTCAGTGTATTGGATTAGTAAGTTACTGCTACGTACTACGATTTACGTCACCTTCATATTCATGCATGCACATGTTAATCAAATATTAACTTTTCGAATACAAGAGATGCTTTACTTCAAACTAAACTAAACGATATTAATTAATGTTTCTGTTGTAACTTAAACTTGTTTGGCTTGGTTTGCAGCGCAACTATCCGTTTTTCATTTTATTTATTTCGTCATCGACGTTGCTGTGCATATATGTGTTTGTGTTTTCGTGGATCAACCTTGTCCGAGAAAGTGGCACTCTGTGGAGGGTCATGGCGCGAGACATCGTATCAGTTATTCTTATAGTGTACTGCTTTGTAGCAGTCTGGTTTGTTGGTGGCCTTACAGTTTTCCATATCTATTTAATTTGCACAAACCAGGTACGTATTTCTTATTACTCTTTGTTTTTTTCGATCTCATCCTAGTTCTACACCGTCATATGTACATATATATTCTAACCACTAATAGCTGCTTGTTTTAATTAATTTCCCAATTAAACAGACAACTTATGAAAATTTTCGATACCGTTACGATAAGAACGAAAACCCCTATACAAAAAGACTACCAGAAAACCTGAAAGAAGTGTTCTGCTCAAGGATTCCTCCCTCGATGGTTAACTTCAGAGAATGGGTTTTGGTTAAGGACATCGACGTCGACATGGGAAGGGCATCCATCGCTTCAGAAAGCAACAGAGGCTTCATCGCCTCGAAAGAGAAATTTGCCATAGAGATGGGAAATAAGTATGGAAAGGATCATCGCGGAGTTCCAAGTATTTTGCAGAAACTGGACTACAGTGGCATTGATGATGGTAACATGAAGAAGAAACGGAACAATAATAATTTGAGTGGCGGGGGTTTTAACGATAATAATCTAAAGAAAGGGACTAAGGCGGCTGAAGAAAAAACAAGTTCAGATGACCATCGGGAGAGGATGAGTAGTTCGGACCTAGGATCAGTTAATTCATCTACTAATGGTAATGAAAAGAAGACTACTCATCAGCAATAGTTCCAATACAATTGGACTCCATCCATCCATCCATCCATCACTAGCATGCTTGTTTTCCAGACAAATAAAGGTAGTGTTTCTCGATCTTTTTCTCTGTGTAACTTTCCATCAAGAATTCAAGATTGATCAAGACATATATTATATACATTAGCTGATGATAAAATTTCTCACACTACAAGAAATATGAGCACTGCACACAATAAATTATATGTGCCCTTTGAGGCCAAAGAGCACCAATATATGCGCCCATAGACCAATAGCAACAGTGTATCAACAATATTTGTATCTATGCCCTCTATGGGCGTCACTTTTGCTAAAAGGGCACAATACAATGTTTGGTGCTCAAAGAGGCAGGCACAAATGGACCACTATTTGTGCCTGTTTCTAACAACTTTATCAGAAGACCTTTTCCAGTCATATTGACACTTATATTATAATTGTGCCAACAAGAATTAAATATTAAAAAAAAAATCAAAATTTAAAAAACTAAGACGGAATTGAGATTTTTTTTTTTTCCTTCATAAAATGTAGAAAGCCTACAACACATTCTCAATCTCAGAAACATATATTGTAATGTTACATATTTCATCTCTAATTCTGGACATCAGTAAGTGGATAAGCAAGACAAAAGTTGATACTTCTTTGTAGTAAATTGCTACTTACAACGACAATAGTTGATAATTATCCTAAATAATGTCAGTTTGGCCAACAAGAGATCGCAGACCAAGTCACATTTTCACCAAGGATGGGAAGTTCAACAGTTGGAGGGCAAACATATTTCATAGCGGTCAGAGAAAGTAAACTTTAGAAAAAGAAATGTGCAAGGTTTTGAGAGGATAGATGTACATATGTCTCACCTGGCTTGCAACAAGGGGAACTGCATTGGCATTTTCTTTCTAGGAAAACACTAATCGACTGCCACCAGAGAGTTGAAACGCCCTTTATCGCAAGAGCATTAAAGACTAACAAGTTGATGTGTAGAATTTGCAAGTAGATGCCAATTCATTTAGCCCATCAAGTTATTAAGACGCCATCTAGAGACTGCTAAATTCAAATTCATCAAATGAATTTTGCTTCTCACCCATAATATAAGTCTGGTTCATCTTAAGACGAAGAATGTCCAACAAATCTACTCAGTTTGAACACACCGTGGGATTTAAAAATATTGGATACAAAGGCAATTCAAAAGATCACCTAATAACTTTTGGATTATTATTTTTGAGAAAAGACACCTTTTGTTTATGTAACAAAAATTACACATCATTGGTCAAGCAGTGCACCCTAAGAACATACAAAAAACATCATTACTTTGATATCAATTGTACTATCTGTCTTTGAGTTCATGTTTGAGAAAACATCTGACTTGCCTATAAAAATTCATTAACAACTTTAGCTACTTGCAAGGTATGTGAAGTGGGGTCACTTACAAACTGTATAAAAAAACTTAACTCCCCAACAAGTAAATATAAAGTCATAGAATTGGATGCATGGTAATTGTTAATTCTAAAAGTGACTTAATTGAAATAAACTAAAGGAGCATAAATTCCCATTTCTATTATAGTATTAAAGCATTAATCTCGTGATAACAGAAAAACACAACGAAATAGGGCGAATTTCATACCTTCCCATTCCAACAACCACAAGGAAAACTAGAGGCTTAACCATTAACAGCAGTGACAGGGACCTGCTAACTTGTACCCATGGCACCTGAACAACCAACACAAATTTACAAGTATACAATCGTACTTTAAAAATGAAAGGAGATAAAGATCAAAGCACTATCAAACGTACTTTATATTTCACTCTTACTTTAGGTTAAGTTCGTAGAACTTTTCATGGAATTCTATCAAACGAAGACAAAACACAGAAAGCTTACATGGATGTACTCACTAGGTACTTGAGTTTCCATAGATGCCAAAAATGCATCATCATCAAGCATCAGATTAGCCATCTACATTGCAAATTGCAAATGAAGTGTAATCAACAAGAACTATTCATTTACACCAATGAATATATAGTTAACACCAAACAACTATTCATTTACACTAATGAATATACAGTCAACAAGAATATACATTTACACCAATGAATATACAGACAAGAAGAATTATTACCTGTTTAAAGTTCATGACTTTACACACGTCAATTTAAAATATTTCAAAAACTGAAATTTAGCAGTGCCACTGCCAACGATTCATTGTTACCATGCATTGATGGTCATTGGGCAAAAAAGTTGGGTTTGGACTACCCATGCCCACGATGTGATACAAAATAGCACACAAATTAAACCTTCTTTTTCATAGTTGTAGTATGTGAAAGTAAGGATCGTTCTAGGTTGGGGATTAGGAAGGCTTCTAATCTACTCAAATTAAACTCTAAATCACTAAACTAGACTCAAAAATAGAAAACTAAACTTAAACTGACTCAAAACAAACTAAATTGACTCAAATAACTTAAAACAAGCACCAAGGGGTGATTTGGACAAAAATCTAACTAAATTGACTCAAAACATGAAAGGGGGGGTTACTTTGACGAATTTTAACTAAAACTAAGTAGTTTGCAGAAACAAACTAAAGGTTGCACGAAATTAAGGTGACTAAAGGGGTGAAAGGCTAGCTAGAGGGTCTTTCTCCACACATGACACATATGCATACAAATCAATTTCCAGTTATTATTCCTATACACCATGAATGACAATGCCCCAAATTAATTGTGAACTGCCCAAATTAACTCTCAAATTTTCCTAATTTCATTGAATTGGACTCAGCAACCCAATCAAATTATTCTTATCAAGTTCCCTATATGACCTGCATGATAGAGATACATATCAAAGATCATTAATTTTTATGAAAATCATAAGCATTGACAAGGCATTCGTAACTATGAACTGCATGATACTCCTACCATGGATTTACTTAACACAATCATGCCCAATGACTTCCACTACTTATAAATATAAATTCATAACTATTAGGTGAAATTCCCTTATATTTTAGCATCAGATTCATGCATGCAAACTAAGTGTGCACCCTTAATCAACATACAAGAATAAGTTATCAATCAAACAGATAAGTAAATCACATTCATGTTTTGCGAAACAATAATCGGATGTAATCAATTCATATCACATATATGTTTATGGCTTTGAATTCACCTCTAACTAAAACGAAATTAGTTCCACATGTTTGCAATTAAACAAAACCAATCTAATTTAAATATTGAACTAAAACTAAGGATAGAAAGAACCCAGAAACACTCCAGCACTCCAATGGTCTTGGATAGCAGGTCACGGCACAAAGCTCTTCTTCTCCTTCCTTCCTTGCAAAGCTATGGCACAAAGTTATTTTTTTGATTTTCTCTCTAAAATCTCCTTTGAAAATTGTGGAATAAAGTGTGTATTTATAGGGTAGGTTTCACGGCACCAATCCTTGGAGGACAAGGATAGGGCACGACACAATTCTAAAAGAAGAAGGATTAGGTTATTTGCATGATTTCAGGACTTCTAGAATCAGATATGCATTGTAAAACATGATAAAGACTCCTAAATTCAGATGGGAAGGATTTAGAATAGGATAAGGACTCCTATTGCAGCTAGAGCTGAGTTTAGATAATGTTGAATGAAATAGGATAATGTTTGGATAATATTAGGTAAAATATGATAAAGTTGGATAAGATCTCCTTGTTTTCAGCTGATTCCTTGTCTTCCAAGACTTAATTTAATTCTTCCAGATTTGTAGCACATTTTTAGCATCATTTAAACACCATAAACGTCCATCCATTAAGCTCCATGCATGTGCTATCCATTCCAAGCCAAAAACTGCTCTAAAATGCTCCAAATTGCCTTTTCTTGCCAACTTTGCCATTTGGACCTACAAACACACGAAAATGGCTTAAAACACTCTAATAAATAGAAACTAACTGAGTAAATGCAAGGAAATAGGCTAACAAAGTCACATAAATATGCTCTTATCAAATTCCCCCACACTTAGTTTTTGCTAGTCCCCGAGCAAAACAAAGAAAATAAAACACAACCTAAACCTTCCGACAATTGCCTCAGGGATTTCCAATGAAACATGACATGTTAAAAATCACCACTCACATAGATTTTAGCTATCCTTACCCTCGAGCTTATACTTAACCACAGTAACCAATCACTAGCTCGCATTTAATCAATTAAAACAATATTTTGAATGTAGTAACATGCCTTAGAGAATTCACACAATTCCTCACCGGATATACTCTCTATTTTCACACAAATTTTCTGACTACACTCCCTATACTAAGTATATGTGAGAAGATTGATGTAAACATGTAGACTAGCACTCACATATGTTATAACAAAGAAAGCACTTTCTGGAATTATTAATATGAACATGTATATGATCTCATGAACGGAATGCCACTACTTAGACGCGAGAACCAGGGATTCCATATGCTCGTACCAATTTCAAACTTCACATATTGAAACACATAACAATCAAGATAGAAGTCTAAGGGTTGTAACGGGGCTAAGGTATTGGCTAACAAAGAAAGGTAATGATAAACAAAAGTTCTTAAAGCAATAGTAAACAAAGTAATGAAATAAACACTTAGAATTCAACTTTTGATTTCGGAAATCAACTTTAAACACCCATGGGAGATTCACACAACACTTAGGGCGGATTCAACTTTTTGGACCCTTTCTTCAACAACCAATACTTGTGAGTTCAATCTCACTTATTTCTCAACTCTTTTCCTTCTTTTCTCAACTTCTTCTTCTTTTTCTTTCTTTTTCCACGTTTTTTTTTTCATGTGCCCTTTTCTTTCTTTGGCACACAAAACGTACATCCTCATAGATTTCCAATGAAAAACCTTCCCCCACACTTGTTTTTCTGTAATTTGTAGATCAAAAGGAATTCCCTCTAAGTCATGCTTCCCTATCCTTTAAGAACAAGTGTATGGATAGTCCTATTCTAGGCTTGGTAAGGATAATGTAGGCTAACAAAGAAAATTGGGCTAACTACGGCTCAAAGGGTTAAACCTATAATACATATGCAAGGGGTAAGGCTTTTTGGCTCTGGTTTAACTAAGCAACTTCATCTTATTATATGTTATGCAATCAATTTTATGCTTTGAATGAAACGGGCATGAGTTCTAGTATTTGGAACTAAAATGATGAAAACGCATTCTAAGTAGCAACCAAGCAAAG